CAAGAGCCGGAGAGGTCTGATCTCCTCTTGGTGGGGAGGGCAGGGGGTGGGGGGAAGGAACTAGAACTAAACTCCTCTTTTTCTCTCTCTTTCCCCCCCCTGCCTCTAACGACCTTCTTCCATCTCTTCTTCTCTCCTTTCCCCTCCATCCCTCTATCTTGCATGATCTTTCGCGCACCACTTTTGTCGGCTCCGTTTCTGCTGCCGCTCCAGAGGGAACGCTGGGGAGGAAGAGGAGAAGAGGTGTGTCTGTCCCCGTACTTCGGTGCATTAGTGTCCAGAGGCCAGTGCTCACTTCAGGTCCAAATCCTGCCCTGGGGAGGGGGGTAACGGGTTTCAGGGGGGGCTCCGAAAGGCCCTTTCTTCACCAAGGAGGAACGGCTGCCGGAGGTTTGACTTCACGTGCATCGCCCTCTCGAAAGGGCCAGAAAGGTTTAGGCTGATTTCTCTTCTGTGCATCTTTTTAAAAAGAAACCTGACTGGCTTCAAGCTGTGATGCTTTGCTGCGGGAATCGGGTGCCCAGCTGCTGGGGAAGCCGAGGGCTTGTGCCGGGAACTGTTCCCTGGGCAGGTTTTGGACATGAACTGAGCCTCTTCGCGGAGAAAGCATCCCCCTCTCCTGTCCTTCCCGCTTGCTCCCGGCTTCTGCTGCTGCGTAGATGTGCCGAGGGCCCTCTGCCAGCTGGAAAAGCTGGTCCTTCTGTTTTTGTTTAATGCACTCTTGTGCTGCCATCCCTAGATAAAAAGAAAAATGCAAACGGGGCTGCACGTCGCGATCACGACTGTGTCCTCCGGGCTGCAAAGCTCCAAGCAACCACCTCCATCTGCGCTCCGAGGGGGAGCGGGGAGCGGGGAGAGCCCTTGCTCTCTTGCTGGAGTGTGGGATGTTCCACCTTGGAGCAAATCGCTCCAAGCGATGGCATCAGCAAGAGGACGAGGGCTCTTTGAAGCCTGGCAGCAAATCCGTGTGGCTGAGGCACGCGCCGGCGCCTGGATAACCGAAGTGTTCGAGGCTCAGGTGCGCGGGGCGAAACGCTGCTGCTGAGAGACGAGCAACGCTGAGCGCCCGCAGCCGCGTCTCGCCGGCGCGGCTCTCCCCAGGGAGCGGAGATCAGAGGCTCTGAGCAGCGCCACGTGTGGGCTCTTCCCCTCGCCAGGCGCGTTGCTCTTGAAAAACAAGCCAGAAGCACAGTGAATTTTTCTTGGACGCTTTGATAATTTTTTTTCTCCCTCCTTCCTCCCTCAAAAACATAAAAAGGCAGGAAAAAAACAGTTACAAACGTGCTTCTTCTGCAAGTGGGCCAGTGAGACCTGTGAAGTTTTGCTTCTGGGTTACAAAGCCCCTTGATTTGATTCTTCTCCTTTCTTTCCACCCTCCAGATTTGGATACAGTTTTTATTTGCTATCGTAAGCTGTATCTGGGAGAAATTACACCTTTTTTGTATTTTCTTTTTTAAATCCCTTTAAACATATCGTATAAGTTTCCAGAGCCCTATAAATACAAGCAGCTCCCCGCTGGAGACCGAAGGCTCAGCTCGGCAGCTTCCGCACGCCGGGGCTGGGCTGACTGGAGCGAGGACCTGCTCCCCTTCGCGGGGTCAGCCGGACGGGGCACTCATCCTTTGCCAGTTTCAGCACCACAAACCTGCTCTGGGGCTGAGCTAACCCCGTGGAACCCACTGTGGGACACCCTCCCTCCCAGCCACCGCTTCCCCTCCACACAGCTCCTCCCGTGCTGCTTGGCGTGCCAGCCAGCTGGCGCGAGCTCCTGGCGTTCTCCACTTCCTTCTCCTCCACAGAGCTGTTTTTCTTCTACCTGTCCCTGTTTTTCCTTGCTTTTCCTCCTCTTATCCTTGGCTGTGACCTCACCTGACTTCTTCTCGGAGGGGGCTTCACCCTGGAGCTGTAGTTCCCCCAGCGTGCATGCACCGAGCCCCCCCGCCACCACCCGAGCATTGCACCGGTGACCTGTCTGTGACACAGGCTTTGTTCCACCTGGACGGGGACTCCTGCCACCGCCTTGAGTTGGTTGCAAACATCTCGAGCTTAAAAACCCTTCCTTTAAGGCAAAGCTGTGGTTGCATTTGCCAGGGAGCCAGAGTGGAGCCGGGGCATCCTCAGGGCAGTGCTGTGATTTTTCAGCAGGCGTGGTGGTGATGGGTTGATGGTTGGGCTTGGTGGTCTTAGAGGTCTTTTCCAGCCTTAATGATTCTCTGATTTTATGCCTTGGCCCCGAGTGGGGCTGTGGGAGGGGTATAGGAGCCCCCCACGCTCTATGTTTGAAGAGCAGCTTGCTCGGGGAGTCAGAGCCCTGCCTCAGACGGGGGAGAGGTGCCTGCTACCCCCCCCAGTACCCCTCCTAGATGGGAGGGCTTCAGCAGAGCCCCGCTGGGATGGCCTCCCCCAAGAGCTGCAACTCCCCTGACTCCTCGCTTGTGCCCCTTGCCGAAGCGATGGCACCGAAAGTGAGAGACGCGAGCTCTGTGCTGGAGAGGCCGATGCTGTTTCCTTGCTCTTCATCAGGGCCCTTAGGAGAAAGCCAAGGGTGAAGAAGACTTTTTCGTGGTGTATCTCTCGCTTTGCCCCCGGGTGAGAGGTGTGCGAGCTCACCTGGCACTGCACGTGTGCCAGCAGCCGGAGGGGCTCTGGGCGCCCCCCGTCCCCAGTCACCTTCGGGCAGCTGGGGTGAGCAGGGTGGGGGTCTGTGCCTCCTGCGGCCGGGCTCCACGGTGCGTCCTCGCCAGCTTGGGGGGGGATGACACCTTCCAGATGTTCCCCCACTGGGGACATCCCTTATGGTGCAGAGGATGCCTGGTGCTTCTCCCCAGGACCTGCTCCTACCCCCTGCGTTGCACAGCCAGGCACCGCAGGGACCCAGCCCGCTCTCCCACAGCCGAGCATCATCCCAGCACCTGGTACTGGGGGCTGCGGAGAGGAGGAGGAAGGAGGGGGGGGGAAGAAAGGGCAGCCTGTCGCTTCCCTCGCCGAAAGCATCTCTGTCCTTCCTCAGCACCTTCATTCACAACATGCTGGCCTTCGGCCTGAGCAAGAAGCTCTGCAGCGACTTCCTGAAGAAGCAGGCGACCATTGGCAATTTGGATGAAGGTAGGGGCGAGCCCGGGGGGATGCGCACCCCCGTCGTGGGGTTCCGGAGGGATGGAGCCTGCTGCCGGGCCGGGATGCTACAGCACCCTCGCAGCACCCTTTTCTCTCTCCTCCGCAGAGCAATACAAGCTGCTCAGCGACCACATCGAGCAGATGGCCACTGAATAGCTGCCTGGCTGGCACGCCACGGCAAAGAGAAGGCGGCCAGAGTGGGTGGGGAGGGGAGAGAACCCCCCCTCTGGGGCTACCTGGAACTGAAGCTGGGCTACTTAAAAAAAATCACACACAGAAGCTGCAATAAAACCTGCATGATCATCCACCAAACTTTCGAGCTGCGCCAAGGGCAGCCTGTAGAAATAGGAGCCAAACAGCCCCTATTCCCTCACCAGACGCTCCCGCATCTTTTTTCAGAGTAGACAGTCCCAAAACTGCATTCTGCCCGTTAAAAAAAAGCAAAACCCAAACAAAAAACAAGAGAAAAGCAAGAAGAGAGCGACGGCTGCGGCCCCTCCGTGTGTTTACGGGAGCTGGATGGCCGAGTCTCAGCCCCTCAGCCCCCCCTCATGAAATGCTGCCTGTGGCTTCGGTCTCTCGCAGCACGACGGCGGTGGGTGCGGAGCTGCCAAGCGCGTTTGCTGTTCCTCGCCTTCCCGAGGCTGCTGCGAACGGCGGTGACTCGGGAGGAATCCAAGGCTGCGAGTCTCCTGCGGGCTTTCCCCTCCGGCATCCTCTGGGCGAGCACAACGGAGGCTGGAGCTGGACCAGGGACGCGGGAGGGGACGGCAGGGACCGCATCCAGCTGCCGGGGCCGCATCCAGCTGCTGAGGGAAGCCACTGCCGGGGGACAGCACCCGGCTCTGCCTCCGGTCTGACCCGTCTCCCTCCGTAGTGAGGCACTGGGCGTTCGCAGCACAGTGGGTTTGTCCTGGCGACGTCTCCGGCTGCTGAGGATGGTGATGGCTGGGATGCAGCAGCCGGCGGGAGGCTCCGGGTCAGGCCAGCAGCAGGTTGTGTTGCGTTGCGTTGCCTGTCTGGGGATGTCACCACTGGCTGGGGACATGGGCAGAGCGGGGGCTTGCTGGGAGCGGAGGTAGGGCTGGCAACGTGCTTCTGCCTCCCTCAATATAAAGCTCCTTGGGAACTGGAGGGGAACTCTTCCCCCAGGAGCCCTTCCCTTTCCTAGCATCAAGGTGATGCTTTGCCCTAAGCTGGGCTTGTAGGAAGGAGCTTTGCTCCGCGCTGGGTCTCGTAGGAAGGCTCGGATCCAGCACCAGCTTTCCCTCAGCCATTCCCAAACCCGGGCAGAGGTACTGGAGAAAGGTTTTTGTCGGGCAAGGGGCTAATAGCATAGCTAATCCCATTCGATTTTGCTTTACCACCTTGCTTAAAGATTCTACTTCTAATTGTATTCCTGGTATGGCATCCAATGTTAAATTTTCCGGAGTTTCGACAGTAGCCGATATATTAACTATAGCTTTCTCTAACTCGCTTACTCCCAAAGAGGGGATTAACCATCGCACAAAGCTATGAAAGCCAGTGCCTCGAATTACCAACGGATTCTCCGCTCTCTTAAAACGAATCCAGGGGGTTCTTAAAAGTCCCGTAAGAGGGGAGGTACCTTTGTGAATGCTTGCTCCAGGCGTAAGGTACGCTCTAGTACAATGTCCTTTCCAGCTTAAAGGTAAGCTCTTTCTAGCCCTTCCGTCACCGCAAAGCCACCAATATCCAGGTCCCATGTTGCATCTTGGACCCTTGTAGCGCGTCGGGTTTCTTCCCCGCGGCCCTTGGCAGGGTGTTTGCAGAGAGGCCGGGGACGTGGGGACATCGCTGCTCCTCTCTGCAGGGCTCTGATGGGAAAAGCTGCTCCGTGAGCAAGAGGAAAACCCAGCTCCACGCAGCCTAGGTCCAGCGCTCAGTCTCACCCTAAAAACACCGCCCTGGAACAGAAGTCCAGGTTCCGAGGGACCACCGGTCCATTTTTCCCCACGCTGTCAGCTGCATCCCAGAAGATAAATAGCATAAAAGGGTTTTTTCTCCCACGTAGCTCTTAGTTTCTGGTGTCATTTCCTAGCGTCGAGGTGATGCTTTGCCCTAAGCTGGGCTTCCCTTGCTGCTGGGGCTGGGAATTTGCTCCGCGCTGGGTCTCGTAGGAAGGGTCGGATCCAGCACCGGCTTTCCCTCGGCCATTCCCAAACCTGGGCAGAGTTACTGGAGAAAGGTTTTTGTCGGGTGAGGGGCTGCCGGCTAAAATGGTACAAAGCATTTAGCAGGAACTTAGTAAAACAAAAATTTAAAAGGGTAACAGGATGAAGCTTAGGTACAAACAAGCAAAACCGTGCTTTCAGACTTGTCGATCCTCCTGTCACTTGCATTCCATGGACTAATTGTATTTTCTTTTAAGTTCACACTGTCACTAACTAAGTCCCTGGTGCCTCCTCCACCTCAGCCCCCGCCGGCTTCTCCCTTCTGATGACCTACTTTTTTAATAGGGAAAAATTGATGCACCTTTTAAAGAAACGTTAACGTTTGCCCTGCAGCCAGCTAGGCACACGGAGGAGATTTAATTTTTATTTTCTTTTCCCCCGTGCGCTCAATCTCTGCCAGTCGCCACTGATCTGACGGCGGGGCTGGGATCCTGCTCTGGCCTCGGGACATTTGATTTCGGTGTATTTAAAAATCAATTACTCAGTATTATCTTATTAAAAAAAAAGATGTTCCCTTAGATTAACGGGCTGGGAGCGTCATCCTCCATCCAGGCTTCAGAGCCCACATCCCCTCGGGTCTCCGTACGGCCAAGCCGAGCCTGTTCCCTGCCCTGCAGTGCTGGTTTCTCCCCCAGCAGCCCAGGAGCAGGGGTTCACAGCCACGTTTCTCCTAGGAAGGAGCTGCCCTGCTCCTTCTTGTTTTAAATCACCCTCCCTGAAGCACTCCACAGATTTACCATCGCAGGGGGGAAACCATCAGCCCTGCTGATGTTCTACCTGGGGTTTTACACGGGTGCGGGCAGACCAGCTACCAAGAACCAGAAGCCGCGTGCCCTGGGAGCACTTCTGTCCCCTCCACCCGATGAATGCCTTACTGCCCTGCCCTGCCCGACAAGCTCGGGGGTGTAAGAAAGGAGGTGCTTGTTCCTCAGGTACGTGCTCAGCACCGGGTGCCCTTTGCACCCCCAGCACCTCCCGGCCGCTGGCTTGGCTGGCTGGGTGCAGCCCGCGCTTGCAGAACGGCGTGGAGAAGCTACAGAGGCAGCAGGCGTGGCAAGAGGGAGAGAGGTCCTGGGCCACTCAACCCCGAGCTGCGAGGTCTGGTGTCCCTGTCCTGCCCGCTGAGGGGTGGTTGATGAGCTCGTTTAGCTTTTGCTGCGTGAGAAACGTGGTGCATCAACCGAGGCGAGGGGCAGCTGAGGGACTGGCACCCCACCCCGGCCGGTCTCTGCTGGAGATAAAACAGCCCCCATTTTAAATCCCCAAAGGTGGGTGAGACCAGTGGTGATCTGGGCAACTGCAGGCTCTGGAGGAGACCCTGGCAAAGGTAGGAACAGCACCGGAGGGGGAAGGTGCTGTATGTCGTGGGCACAGCCTGTCTCCCTGTCCCTCCCTCCCTGCGGGGTATTAATTACCCCCTCTGTGCAACGGCGTTAGGTGAGCTGAGAGAGTCCTCAGGTGAAGCCCCCATCCATCACACCCAGGGGTTAGCGGTGGCCTCGTGGCTGCTCCAGCGCTGATCCTTCCAGTCTGAGCGCAGCAAGCGGCCCCCAGCCCCCTCCCCTGAGGCATAGAAAGGACGTTTGCTTGCTGGGCTCTGGGGGTTTTATTGCGTCTCTATTAAAGGTGTTAAAAACCTTTCCATTGTAGCAGTGTCTGGGAGTGATGAGTATTCATAACAGAGGGGATTCAAGATGGGCTTGGTTGTAAAAACACCTCTAAGCTGGCTGGATTTATGGCTGTTAAATCATCCCTTTCCTCATCTGTCACAGCCTTTTCAGATGTTCATCACTGAACAACAGCGAAGTTGGGGCCATAATTCGTGCCTCAGTGTGTGGAGCAGGAGGGAGGGGGGTCCTCTCCATCAGTAACCAGCTCAGGATTTATGGGCACCGTTTCTTCTTCGCTTTTCTCTCGAGCAGGAGAGGCTTTGACTCTCGCTAGCGGCTCTCACCCGCACACCGCTGCCAGCCTGCTCGGCCAGCTGGAGCCAGGCAAGGGCTGCTGGATTTAGAGCTGTGCTGGAAAGTTTGACAGCAGCGTTCGGGTAATTCAGGGCTGGCCCTTGCCCGCAGCGGGCTCCGCAATGCGGGGCTGCGCCTCTTGCCGTGCCCAGGCTCTGCTTTGGGACAGCATCTCCCCATCCTCCCCGTGCTTTGGGGTGAAAGATGGGAAAAATCCCCCCAGTGCCCACCACAGCAGCCTGCAAAGAGCCCGGGTTTGGGCAGTGGGCTGTCAGGAGGCAGCAAGGTCTTGCAACGGGAGCAGAAAACTTCATCGGTGCTTTGCAAGGCACCGGTGCCGGAGACGCCTGCTGCTGCGCTGCCCGAGCCGCCTGCCCTCCCTTTCCCTCGCTCCGCAAAACTGAGCATGGAAAATGTTTTTGAGGGGAAAACCTCCAGCTCTGCCCAGCTGCTGGCAATCCTTGCTCGGCCACGGAGTGCCCAAGATGCGACCGAAGGCCGAAGCGAAGC